TTATTGTTTGTTAAGTAGTTGTAAGTAAAAGTTGTCAAATAGGAAAATGTTATTTCAAATATCTTAATTATTATCAAGCCCGCCAATTTTTAAATTCCTTTACTTAGTCGTGTCCTACTTTATCGACTGAAACTGACAGGTGTAGTTCAACCATAAGCGCTTAGCGCGCTACTGTCGAGGTCAAGCAAACTTGTTACCAACTATTTACATGGAATCCAACCCCCGTGGTGTATGCTATAAAATTTAAAATGTCGCGAAAACAATTATTTTTATGCATTTTTTTAACAAAAATATTACTGTGACTTAAATCGCCAAGGACGCATTCGATGATTCACCCAGTACACAGACGGTCGGGATTCATCATCAACGGCTCACTGACAAGTGTTTACAGAAAAATACCTGCAGTCTTGTCTACTGCTGGGACCACAAACTTGTGAAAGTTTCTAACTCATGTATGTTTGAGACTATGGCTAAGACAAGATACTTTTCACCATAATTTTGTGCATTTATGTGCAAATTATGTAAAATATAAGATTACTAATTGAGTCTATATTTTTTTATTAGGATCAACTAGCAATTTTATTCTAACGTAACTTATCTAGGGATCAAAACTTTCACTAGTGTACCTTAACGTCTAATGATTGTTTAACGTATAACACAAAACCGAAGTGTACTCTGCTATCTAACATCACTGAATTAAGCCAAAAGGTTTGGTTCTCTTGAGTCTTCTTATTAGATTGGCATTGTTGAGGAGCTGGATAACCTCAAGGTTCCCATGTTGGAGCAGTCGTTGTTGGTGACTGCTCGCAAATGTTTCTATTGTATTTTTAACAGTCTCCACTTTATGATCCTTATGAAGATCAGTATTGCGGCAGTATCAGGGTGCATCGACGATGTTTCTTAATACTTTATTCTGGAAACGATGAATAATTTGAATGTTACTTTTACTGACATAGTCTCAAAGCTAGTTATCATACGTCCATACGGGTTTCAATATCTGCCTGTAAAGAAGCAGTTTGTTGTATGTGGATAATTTTTTTTTTTTTATAGCAACCAGTACATTCTTCTGTATTTTATACCAAGCTATTCGCGTTTCTTTTTAATATGGACTGGCAAAGGAATATGAGTGTCGTTTATTCTAATAGGAATATGTTCATTTTGTTTATTGCTGAAGTGGATATGGACAGATTTGCCTTTATTCAATTTTATTCGTCATTTTGTCCTGTCTGGTCTATAGATTTTGCATTTTCTATTAGGATCTTCGTGATTTTTTCCAACAGCAAGGATTGCGGTATCATCAGCAAATGTTGCGATAATATTGGGCTCAAGAGGAATATCTCAGGTATTCAAATAGAGTACTGGACCTAGTACACTACCTTGAGGTACTCCTACCTTAATTCCTTTTAGGTCGGAATAGGCTTCTTCCTGTTTAATTCTGAAATATCTTTCTGATAAATAGGATTTTAATAAATCAGAGTATTGACGTGGCAGGAACATGTTCAGTTTTTGAATCAAGCCTTCACACTACACTTTGTCGGCAGCCTGAGTCACATCCAAAAAGACGGTGGAGCAAACTTTTTTTCTTCTAGGGACTTCTCGATGATATCTGTTGTCGCGGGCTATGGAATTTCTTCACTTGATTCCATGTCACGCAAAAGGGTTTTCTTCATGTAATGAACTGTAGCTGTCTATAGTTCGTGTAGCAAACTTCTGGATTTCATGTGCACCTTCACTGGTTGAAATTAAAAATTTACCTTGATTTAACTTGTTTGATAAACTCTAATATAAACTATAACATTTTTAAACACTGTACTTAAATTACTAGTTTACATATTTGGTAATTAAACGTCAGTTTATAACATCTTACAGTATTGCAATAATCTCGCAGAGAGAAAATAGAGAAATAGCTTCTGGTTTTTCGACAGCGTCGACCAACGCTTTGCCCTGGGCGGGCTCTACGTGACTTAAGGTGTCGAAGTTCTATTGGTCAATAGAAAATCGCATGAGCTTGATGGAAGTGAAAATTGAATTATTTTTGAACATTTAATGAGATTGATGAAAAGACTTATATGGAGAGATATGTTTTTTTTCTTTCTCCTGGGCTCGTCTGACTATGTGTCTCCGAATAACACTGAAGCCTATTGGCTGATTGTGTTTTACCCCATGTTAGTTCATGGCACCCACTCTGTCACCTTTGTACCTTGTACAAGTTTGTACAGATCCTTGGGTGAGTGGGTTCTATACGTTGTTGGATCAACCTGGGGTTGTCCAAAAAGAGCCTGTCTTCTGCGATCTAGAGCTTCGCATTTGCACAGTATGTGTTTGGCCGTTTCTGGTTTCTTGTCTGCACATAAGTTCCCCATTGTACATGCCAATTTTGTTCAAGTGTCCCTTTACTGGGGCGTGCCCAGTCATGAACCCTGTTATCACTTTCAACTGGTTCCTATTCATTAACAGTAGTTCTCCAGTTCTTTTGGGACATGGTCTACCTATGAAGGCTTTTCCATGTGCCTGTTTTGGGGTACTTCCCCAATAGTTGATATGTTGTTCCCGAATCCAGTCGTTTATGAAACCCCGGACTGTACTTTTTGGTACTCCTGGGTTTGTGTCTGGTTCCGGTGTTTCTTCTGACCCTCTTTTTGCAAGTTCGTCAGCCTTTTCGTTGCCTTCGATCCCTTGGTGACCTGGCACCCAAAATAGTTTTACTCTATTTCGGTCTGCCAGTGTTCTTAGTTCTTCGATGCATTCCCATACTAGCCTCGACGTAACTTTCTGACTCGATATGGCCTTAAGTGCCGCTTGGCTGTCTGACATTATTTGAATATGCTGATTTTCGACAGCTCTTTCATTGTTCGTTTTTGCACATTGCAAAGTTGCGTATACCTCGGCCTGAAATACCGAGGAATGTATTCCTATAGCATAGATATGGTTAGTATCAGGGTTTTTGGAGAATACTCCTGCCCCAGTGCCTTCCGCAGTGTTAGACCCGTCTGTATACCAGGTTTGTTCCTGTCGTTGGGCATTGGGCTCCTTTATGGTGATCTCCGCTCTTTCCTGTACTAAAACCTCAAATGGAGTATTGAAAGAGTACCTCTTGGTCATGTGGTCTGATCTCATGTCTAGCACGTCTCCTGTCACTAACCTTGAGATACTCATGTGACCTGGCCTAATGTCAAGATTTCCCAGTGACTAAATGTATATGGAACTATTCCTTTTTTAACAAAAAGAGAATCATAGAAATCGGGCAACGTGGTAAAAAATTATCGCTCAACATACATAAAAAAATATTTCAACGAATTGAGAATATCCTCCCATTTTGAAGTATGTTAAAATAAAATTGTTAATAAAGTGCAAAGTAGGGCGTGAACATATATTATAAAGTATATAAAATTATAGATAAAGCCAGTTTAGAAAGTTTTTTAAATAAACTGTGGAAATATCGAGAATCTGATTTTGAATCGGAGGAAGAGTATTCTATGCAACTTAGAATGAAAGCTGATCAAAATGAAACATATGAACGACACGCTAATGTTATTGACGACTTTCTTCAAACGTTATCTAGTTTTCCGAAAACTAGCTGGATAGTTCGAAACTCATTTCCATCGTTAAAGCGCCTATTGTTCTGAAAAAGGTACACGCCTGTCAACATTCATCGTTCAGTAAAAAAAGTGTCGTAATGTAAGGCCAAAATATGTTTAGAAATCAAAAAGAGTTATATTAACAAAAAAATCATTATAAGTGAGATAACTACCAAATTAATGATTTACAAGTTTATTCTTATTATCTATAAAATAAGTTTGCAATATGCTGATGTGGAATGTTATCATCGATTAAAAACTTTAAATCTTTGTATTAAATTGATCGAAAACAATCCATAAATTGGTTTAGACTATATAGAATGTTTCTAGTAAGCAGCGACTAACTTTTATTATGGAACCGAAATACCCTTTTAAAAGGGTTCAAAATTAAAATAAAATATGTACCAAGTAGTATTTTTTAATTTTGAATCTTGAGAGATGCAGACATCTTTGGATAATTTATATTGAAAATGGTAACATGAAAGATTTTCTGTTTAATTGTAATTAACGACTCATAGTCTCGGCTGACAAAATGTAAAAAAAAATATCGAACATAATATTCCTGGGCGAAACGCAACTGCCCCCTATTTTGCACTCCCCAGATTAAATTTACTTGTAGCAAATGATCTAAATCAAATAAGATGTCAGGTCAGAAGCATAATCTCGTGACTATAGCACTAATGATTGCGGAAAATTAACTAATTCATATTTTATGCCATATCTTTTTTAATAAGGACTTTCAGAACCATATTTACCTTAATTGAATTTTTTCAACGTTTTATAAAATCATCTCTAAAAATGTATGACTTTCACCCTGAAACATCGTTCGACCAATAAAAAACATTGGTCCTGTCCAAGCCAGCACCGTTATGCGCATGAGCTCCGACACACTATTTTCTCTTATGGTTTCATTTTTGATATATGGAATTGGCTTTCTACACTATTTCTATGGTATTCGTTACGTATCTAATGTATGTCCGACAAATAATAATAATAATAATAATAATAATAATTATTAATAATAATAATTAATAATAATAATAATAATAATTAATAATAATAATAATAATAATAATAATATAATAATTAATAATAATAATAATAATAATAATATTAATAATAATAATAATAATAATAATAATAATAATAATAATAATAATAATAATAATAATAATAATAATAATAATAATAATAAACCCCCTTTGGGTACGGGGCCGTTAGTAGAAGAATAGTCCCAAGGCGTCTCCTGCCTGTCGTAAAAGCCGACTAACTGGAGCAGCTTACCGCTGTCCTAACCCTTTTCCTACCGTACCCAAACGAAACCATTTGTCCCAACAATCCCTGAGGAGTTAACCTCACCTAAGAATAAAAAAAAATCTCCTTGGCAGTAAGGATATAAAATGCAAACCCATTTAATGTGAAATGTCACGAAATATAAGTGTAAGGCGCGGAGAACGGAGTTTAGGCAGAGGACTCCCGGATCCAGAGTTACAGTCTCCCGAAGCGCGGAATGGCGCAAGTGACATTCCCGCCCGTAGAACTATCACAAGATCACAAATGAGCCACACACAAACAAGGGCTCAGCACCCAGAAGGTGTTACTCTTGATATACAAAGAGACACCCAAGGGACCACAGTAGAACAATTGCCAAGAAGACGCATGAAATGGTCAATAGACATGAAATGCGTAGTTATTTCATGGCAACAAAAGTCGAAACACAAATGGTTATGTACCGACAAAAAATGTATGACTTGTTTAAAAGTAAATACCCAGAACTGGATGTAACTGAACAACGAATAGCAGACCAAAAACGAGCAATAATAACACGAAAATTATTAGCCGAAACAGAGATAAATCAAATAAGATCAGAGGTGCAACGAGATCTGAACCTGAAGTGATAGAAGAAATAGCGGAACCGATTACAAATAATGAGAATCTAAGCCAGGATAATGAAGTGGAACAAGAACCAGGACCCCTTTTTCAAAATGCTGAGGTGTATAATAATGTCACTACCGAAGAAGATACTGTAATTACCCAAATAAGGGAGGAGATCCAGCAAACAATAGCACTGCTAGAAGAAACGAATCCTACAAAATGGCCTTACATACCAAAGTTGCACACATCAAGGAAGCTAGGAATGCTTATAAGAAAAACTAACGAAGTACTAAATGAAGAATTGCAAGGATGTAGAGAATTCCCACATTTCCTAGTAACAATGTACGCAGCGGCAAGGACAATTGCAAAACTAAATGGAGCAAAGATAATAGATGAACAAGTAGAAAAGAAAATCAAATTAAAAGAACCGAGATGGCTAACAAGATTAAAAAGAAAAAGTGAACAGCTTAGAGGAGAAATAAGCAGACTAACAGAATACAAAAGAGGAACATGCACAAAAAGGTTAAAAGAGAAAGTTAATGATATTTTAAAACAAAATAAACGGCACGCAACTTATGAAGATGACAACAACACTATTAGTGAAACACTAGATACGCTAAAGCAAAAATTGAGGGTATACACAAAAAGAATCTGCAGGTATAAAAAGAGTTACAAAAGACGAGTGGACAATAACATGTTTGAATACGATCAAAGAAAATTTTACAGAACGCTAGGAAAGAAACCAGAACAAGCAGGTGGAGGGATAAATATGGAGGAAATGACTGAATTCTGGAAAAATATCTGGTCAACAGGAGAAAATCACACACAAAATGCAAGCTGGATAGATGAAGAAAAACTAAAATTCAGAAATATGGAGCTAATGGAACAAAGCGAAATCAGTATAAATGATGTAAGGGTAGTTATCCAAAATACTAAAAATTGGAAAGCACCCGGTATTGATAAAATACACAATTTTTTTTTACAAAAAAATTAACAGCAACCCATGAAAGAATAGCCTGGTTCATTAATCATTTTCTAGAACATCCCGAAAAAATGCCAATAGCACTTAATTCCCTATTAACCCAAGAAAACACCCCTTATTATAAATATACTCCTGAAAGGGTCATGGAAAATGACAGTGTTGTATTATACTGGGACAGAACGCTACTTACTGATCGTACTGTTCAAGCAAATAGACCAGATATAACATTAATAAATAAAATGGAAAAATGGGCATTCTTAATAGACGTAGCCGTACCCCATACAAATAACCTCCAGGATACGCATAATACAAAAATAAACAAATATAGGGAACTAGCAGTAGAGATAAAAGAACAATGGGGTCTCAATAAAGTTACAATTTTACCAGCGGTTCTCTCAGCAACAGGAATTATACCAAAATCATTTATAGACACCTTAAATGCATTATCAATACCAGAAATGATTCGTCCCATCCAAAAGGCTGTCATATTATCCACATGTAATAAATATTCAATAACCATTTGATTAACATACTTTCGACTTATTAGCTCTGTCTGCTTAGGTATCAGCCCGCAGACAACTACCAACCACCGGTAAAGGCCGAGAATGAGAAAATAATAATAATAATAATAATAATAATATTGGGATCCAAGGGTCCCATGTTCGAATCCCACCGTTGGCCGGGATCTTTTTATTTAATTTAATTATTTAAAATTAATTCTGATGCCTTGGTAGGATTCCCCACTCGACCATTCACTGTTGGGTTCTAATTAACAGTGCTGTTCCTAAAGTGGCGCTTCGAAACAGTAACAAAGCCAACACAGAACACGAGGCTAATGGCCTTAGTAGTCGATGCCGATGACACCAAAATTAAAAAAAAAAAAAAATAATAATAATAACAATGATAATACTCTCCCTAATTCATCCCCTTACGAGTGAATTTCAACCCCTCAAGTTGACTGAACGACTTGTGTAGGGGAAGGGACGGCTATTATTATATGCCGTGGCGACGTTAAATATACCCAGTCGATTACAATAGGTATCCTTAATGAGTTTCTTGTTTCAAATAAATTTTGGTCAATGATTCAATAACTACATCATCACTTTTTTAAAATGTTTAACAACGCCAATAATACTATTACACCTACAACACTCTTGAGCGAAGGTAAAGGTCAGTGTTACTTTACTACGCGTTAATCTGTATAGTAAAATCGAAATTATTTATAATAACACGTTAATTATATGTACGTATCGTAATACGCCGAGATCAAGGTAACAATTTTTAATATGGTTTTTAATGTGTATAGGTATGTCGACGGTTACATGACAAGGAACAATATAAAATCAAATTATACAGGTATATACGTTAAATTATTTTGGCAGGCGCAAAACGTAATGAAATAATTGATGTAGTCCTAGTAATATCCCTAGAAGAATAAAACCATCGAGTTAGTAGGGAGTAGGGAGAGATGATATACCATACCAATAATTTAAAATAATGTGGTACTACTAGACTGACATTAGAATTGTAACAAGATGGCGCCTTAAGTAGGTCTGGACTCAGAATTTTTGTGTTGTTTAAAGTAGTTATAGTAGTAGTCATAAATATTTATAATTCAATGAAAACAAATTAAATAACAAAAGAAAATTTGTATGCAATATTTATGTGGAGTTTTCTAATTTGAAGATATTTATTATGAAATCCACAATTACAGATAACATTTAAACCGCATTTTGCGAATACGAAATGAATAAAATAAATATGCCCAATTAAAAAAAAATGTTATTGTAATAGGTACTTCCTTAAATAAAAATAAAAAGTTTAATAAGTCTTTATTTTTCTTAAGACATTTACAAAAATGTATTGGACAAGCCATAAAGCATGAACGCTAATTAAATATATAGTGTTTATTATCCTTATTACATTTACAAAATGTATTAATTAAGCCATAAAGCATAAATGATAAATATTATAAGACTTATAATAAAACTATTCCCAAATAAGTGTTCGAAAAAACATGTAACGTCTATGGTGGGGTGATCCCTTACCCAAAAATAAAATAAATAGTTCCTATCAACACAGTGCAGCAGTTAAAGTGTTAAGACAAAAGTATAAGATTAACTAACTAATTAGGCATTCCAACATCCTATCCAAATAACTGATGAAATTTTGACACATAACCGTTTGTTTACTAATTTGTTCAAGTTGTTTTTGTACAAAAATTATATTTATTTCCAAATTAACTCGTATTTCACAAAAACAAAATCAAACGCGTATCAATACAATATTAAGTTTGGGTGTGTGTGTCATCTTCATCAGACAACCATTGTAACTGTCAAAAAGTCAAGAAGGTTGGAATTTCTAATTATAAACTTTTTTTAACTGTGCATAGAAGTCGTTAAAATAAACATGTTTTTCAAATAATAATGCTAGAGAATTAAAAAATCTAAATCCGGGTCTGGAATTGTGTACGAAAAGTTAAACAATTAATAAGTCTGTTTTGGTTTTATCTGTTTGTTTGGTTTTTCTTACGAATATGAATCACGATTATTAAATGAAATGGCCTGTGTTTAGTACTACATTTTCACTCAAAAATCGTGCGTGATTCAATTTAAAAATACTATCCAGAATAAAACCACGTGTTCCGTTTTTGACTTCGTTTATTACTAAATAAAGTAAATAATACCTACTAGAAAGATTGTAAAGATCAGAAAAATAAAAAGGTACATGATACGCCATAATAGTTTTTCATTGGTACATATGAAATGTCATTTAATAGTTTCAGGGTTTAAAAATACTTTTTTAAATTTTAAAATTTTTGCTCGCACGCGTGGAGTCGTATTTTTAATATAAAAAAAGCACGACTTTCCAACAAAAAGAAGCAATATGTTTTGTAGGTTTCTATCACCAGATTGCATGCGAAACTCGCTCTCTAACAGGTCACATAAAACTATCCGTGAGAAAAGCAGTCCTTCTTTAGGATGTCGGGAATTAAAAAAATGTCGTTTTTATCAATTCACTCATATTTTTCATACCAGGGCAAAAGAAGTTCCACTTATTTGTTTTTAATTATTTGTACTATTCATTTGTATTTATTTTTAATTAATTTATTTTATTTCCCATACCTACAAACTTCCCCCCATTTCACCCTTTTAAAATCCAAAAATCCTGAAATACGTCATTTCAAGTTCCTACCTTTAAAAAAATCTAGGCTCCCAAACAAATGTTCCCCCCTCTTAAAATGTAAAACCCAAAAACATTGTATTACGTCATTATTTATTTATGATGAGTAGCTACAATTCCAATTTTCAAATTTTCAAGTTCCTACGATTAAAAAATGCGTTACCCCCTACACAATTTCACCCCAATTTCCTCCCCTTAAAATATAAATATCCAAAAACCATGAAATACGTCATTATTTATTTATGATGAGTAGCTACAATTCCAATTTTCAAGTGCCTACCTTTAAAAATTCGATACTCCTATCAAACTTTGTTCCCCCGTTTCCCACCTCTAAAATGTGATGTTTATAAAATCCATTCTTAGTGGGGGTCTACGTCGAGAAAAGAGTAACTATGCCAAATTTCAAGTCAATCGGGCTTATAGTTTTGGAGATCTGGTGATGCGTCAGTGAGTGGTATTTCGCTTTTATATACAGAGTGTTTTTTAAACATGCAGCAAAAATACAAGGGGTTGTTCCTTGGAATATTCTAAGAATATTTGGTCCTTTGATAATTTTTGAAAATCCGTTTTGTAAAGGAGATACAGGGCGAACCAAATTTTAGACAATAACATCATTGTATTACCAAAAAATACATGTAAATGTTACTTAATCTACAAGAACTATTGAAAATGACTACCTCCAGCAAGAATGCAAGCATCCAATCTTCTCCTCATTGACTGACAAACTTTCAAAAACACCAGAGTCGTTTTTTATTGAGTTACACCGAGCAATTATCTGAATTCGCAAGTCTTCCATATTTTCTACTGGAGTAGTATACACTAATGACTCTAGATGGCCCCATAGGAAATATTCCAAAGGGTTTAAGTCCGGGGAATGAGCGGGTCATAAATGAGGTCCTCCTCGACCAATCCAGCGATCCCCGTATCTTAGTATCAGAAACTTACGAGCAACCAAACTGAAATGCGCTGGTCCACCATCGTGCATAAACCACATTGCATTTCTTATTGCTATCATCCAGAAAATCAGGTAGGAGTTTGTTCTAAAAAGTTGCGATACACTTCACCGGTAAGT